CAATCAACAACCAAGGAGCTCAAATTCGATTCTTAAAGCATACTGTGCAACATTTAGATAAAAGTTAAAAATTTCAGCATTTAAGCACATATGACCATAAGAATATTTACAACAAAACAGTCCCAAAATTGAGGTACATTGAACATGAAAATTTCAGTTATTTTATTTTATTTTATTTTATTGTTTAGCAACAACACCACCACCATCATGATTACAAAATTTCAGTTTTGTGCACAAAACTGAATCAACAATTAAAGGGACTCAATTTCAACATTTAAAGTACATAACACATCATTACTATATAAGCTAAAATTTTCAGATTTCAACTACATAACATACTTGTAAACCAACTTCAATTCTAGTCACTTAATGGTTCAATTTAAAGAGAGATAATTCACAAAAAACAAAGGAAATTGAGGTTTAGGACAACCCCTACATCAACCAAGCAAGATCTTCAAAATAACCCCTAAATTCGAAATTCCTAACCCCTTGCAAGATTGGTCTCAATTAAAAGCTCTCCTTAACTCATCAACTTCCTCACCTATTGCTTCATAAAAATCTCACTTTAATCACTCTAAAAACAAACTTAAAATGTAGAAGACATTTATTGCATAAAGATGGATATAGAGTGAGAAAGTGAAGGGTTAGAGAGAGGGAGTATTATGCGGCTGAAGGAAAGAAGAAAGGAAATAGTTTGGTCAACGATTGACCTTGTGATCAATAACTTGCCACTTGTCACTATGTGAATGAATTACACTTTATGGTTAGTTACTTTTTTACCCATCTATAACCATTGACACGTCCTCTATGTCCCAATAAATATCTTCTACAATGTAAGGATACAGGTGTATGCATAAATATGGAAAGAGAAAACCGAGATAAGTTTTCGAGTCCGGAAATCGTCCGGGCTTCCGAAAAATTATAAAAAATGATACCGTTACTTCCAATTGACTTTAAATGATTAAAAAAAAAATTCCAAAACCCTCAGCTCAAAGAAATAACCAAAATGATCATCGGGACCCGCGTGACACAGAAAACGAGGCAAGAATTGAAATAATCTAGAAAAATCAAATAAATTTAAAAAAATAAATAAAAAAATAAAAAAATTTGGTAACATTACAGACATACCACATCAGATTGAAAAAGATGATTTTCAATACATGGAAACACATAAGACCAAGTCAACCACCAGCGTCAAAACATGAGATGGCACAGATTCTCTAGAGATGAAATGGCAACCAAATTCATCACCTCAAGTATTAAGCATATATGATGTTGTAAATGTGTGACCAAACAAAACAAAAAAAAAAAAGTTAAATGCATTTTTATTAAACATAGGGGACATTATTGCATTTTTTTCTTTTGAATTAATATAACAAAATTACAATAATATCTTTAGTGCCGGAGAAGATTTTGATCCCCTAAGATTTTATGAAATTTATGACGAATAGTAAAAATTTATTTGTGAATTAACTATTTTTTAAGGGGTATTATAAAATTTTCTCAATTACTTTAGTTTTTTGGTTTTACATCTTTTCTTCCACTTTGCTCTGTTCTTTACTTGATTCAATTTGCATGTTTCCTTCCAATATCATGCTATTAACCAATTTGGAAATAGTTTAAGTTGCATAGCTAAAGCCAAGTTAAATTCAAAGCCATGATACGTGAACTCAGGCAAAGAAAGTAACTTTTAACTTTCAAAAACTCCGAAAACAAAAATATATATTTAGAGAACTATAAACAGATTTTTTTTTTTTTTTCGTAAAAATTTACAGTACTTCAATCAGGACATCTACAGGGGCAACCCCTATTCACTTGTCTACGGAATGGAAGCCGTCCTGCTAGTAGAGTTGGAAATCCCCTCTCTTGGGATCCTGTGACGTGTTTAAGTCATACTGATTGGAGATTAGATTTTGGCTGAGAGCTGGTTCTGGTCAGAAAATACAACCGGTTGAAACATGTAGTGCAACCGGTTAGACCTCGCTGAATGACAATTCCAACCTTAAAAATCTATACTCAAGAATTCTGACATATTTTCCACACTCTGCCTAGCCAACTAAGAAAGGCTAACTTCTCTCTCTCTCATCTCCGCATCAGTACTTAACCACTATTGATCTTAGTCGTAGTTGCATTTGGTCATTAATCAAAGGTAAATGTTTACAAATCACCATCATTTTTCCTTCTCACATATGCAGATCTCAATTTAAAAAAAAAAAAAAAAAAAAACCAGTAATTCTAGTCCAATTCTTTCATTCACCAAGAAAACCACAGTAAACAATCCGATGCACAACTGATGGTAACAACCTTTAACAATACTAACTCAAATTAAAGTATGACCTATTATGCTATGCCTAGAAGTTCCCAAACAAACTGAAATTTTATATTTTATTTTATGCAGAAATCACTATGCAAAACTAACAGAAAATTGTAATTCTTCATAGACATAGCGGCGTTGGCAGGAATTTGGGAGGTAAGAACTTAAGGTCTCGCTTTTGAATCGCACTCTTGATTTGAATGATACGTATATTATGGGGTCAGTACAACGTGTTATAAGGAAAAAATAAGATAATAAAAGTTCATACCTATGTTAAATACATATACATACATATGCATGCGTGTATAAATTAGGATATCTATTTGTTGCTACCAATGGTACTCTTAGTCCAATAATCACATATTAGCAATAACTGAAAAATTAGGATGAAGTTTTGGTGAATATTAAAAGAGGCGGTTAAAATTCTGAATCCATTATTTTTTTTTTTTTACACCAACCTCCGCTGAAGTTTATCATTATTACACAGTATTTTGTTATACTATACCTTAAGATAAATTAGCTACAACGACTAAAATGGCCATCAATTAAAAGAAAAAGACAATATTACCCTCAGATTGACATCAAATTAAAAAAATATTAAAATGAAGGTCTTATTTTCATGTACGAAAATATCCCTCTCAACCTACCATTGATGCTTTTTTTTTATTTTTTTATTTTTATACTTTCAGCTCATGGATTAGAAATTAAAAAACTCCTTTGACAAATCAGTCAATTAAGCTAACCATTTTAGAACAACTTTCCAATGTTGTAGCAAGCATATCTTCATTTCATATATATATATATATATGTATCTTTTAGCTTTTGATACAAGAATTTAATTTCAAGTGTCACCAACGAATAGAGATTTTTCTTATAACTTTTCTGGTAGGAACAAATCCTTTTTCCGTCTACATTTTTATCCCTTTAAAAATTAAAATTAGATAATTTGCAATTAAATTGTACATCACGTATGCTCGATTGAATTGCACAAAGAAGTGTCAAAACACATTTTTATACTGAATAGCGACCGGAATCCTTCCTGGTGGATCTAGTAGTAGTAACAAAAGTAAGTAATAGCTTCAACAGAAATTGCAGTATGTTTTAGGGTGGATCAGTTTGTTCTTTTCAATTTATACATAGTAATAGCATGGAAGAAACAAACAACTTTGTTATTTTATATTGTGAAAGGTATTGTTATGTCCTTTAATTTTTAACTATGAGAAACCATTCTAGCGAAATTCTCTCAAATAGTATGGTCACTCAAATTGTAACGATTTTTGTGGGCGAGTGTGATGCGGGTGAGCTGATCTCACATTGTCTGAAAAATGTGAAGTGCTATATGTAGATTATGCGACATGTAGATTATGCGACACAACACGTTTTTAAGTCATCATAACTCCGTAATTATATGTGTTTAACATAGAATGGTATTAGAATGAACGACCCTTTGAGAAGTCTCTCCTCTGGACAACATTGTGTCCGGATGACTTCCTTTAATTATGATTGTTGCAGCAAATGCTGGAACATAGATTAAAGGAAAAAAGGAAAAAAAGTAAAAGGCATTACCCGATTCCACTTTCAAACATGAGATTAAATACTTTTTTTTAAAGAAAAATGATAGGTCTTCCGACCTCAATTGCCGACTCCTTCTCTGAATACAACGTGGTTAGGAATGAGTCGAAGAGAGATGTTTACGAGATTTTTTTTCCCGACCTCAATTGCCGACTCCTCCAAATACAACATGGTTGGGAATGAGTCGAAGAGAGAGATATTTACGGGATTTTTTTTTTTGATCCAATGCTAACCATGCCGACAGCCGGCCCATTTTGAAAAACACTTGAGATTCGTACGGGAGCACCGAATTGGCGTGTCTTGAAATTGGGATAGGAGAAAAATTAGTTGAAAGCACTAATTTTTCTCCTATCCCAGCTGCCGATGCCGTGCTGCCAAAATTGGAAAGGTTCTGACATTCACATGAAGGAAACTCACATGAATGGACGTGCCTTGAAATTGGAATAGGAAAAAAATTAATTTAAAGTTTCAACAAATTATTATTCCAAGCTGCCAATGCAGTGCTGCAAAAATTGGAAAGGTAGTGACATTCACGTGAAGGGGAGAGGTGACTGATTATATTTGTATGCTGAGTTGACCATGATCTCAACAATGTTCTTCATATGGGTTGATGTCCTTTTATCTTCAAGGAATGGCCTCGGGCCATTGGCCATTTAATGTGGGTCAAAGCATATGGATATGGTTACCCGGTTCGTTAAATGCTATTAATGAAAATAGTAATTTGTTATTCTTAACAATAGGTCCGGAGACTTTACAACTACATTGATCTTAGTAAAAGGTACTTTCGACGCACGTGGTTCCACGTTAATGCCAGATAAAAAGGATCTTCTGGTTATAGTTTTATATAGAACCAAGCAGCTCATCTAGAAATTTAAGAAGAAATTGGGATGCATGGCTCTCACTAGATGCACTTCATAGTAATGGTATTTTCCTCTACGAAATAATCATCTGGTTCTTCATTCATATTCATTCTGATATACGGGGGAGTGATTATTGAATACAACAAAAGCATGGTAGTTGTATTTATCTAGAATTCAATGAGAAATCGTGATCAAAACTTTAAAGCATGATATTTTCTATTGCTGAATAAATATACAAGACGGAAACCACCAACCTTTTTACATCCCACAGCCACAAGGATGCTAAGCCATGTATGCAATTCTCTTTGTGATACAGATGAATCACTTTTCTCAATCACGCTCAGGCGTTACACCATAAACTTTTCCATTGCTGATATTTCTGGCTTGTGTCCACAGCTTCTCTAAGTCAGCCGATATTGGTTTTTCGGTCTTCTGGTTAAGACTATTTTTGTTCAAAGGGGAAGGAGTCCTAGATGGGCTTCCAGCCAAGGGAGGGGATGAACAGAAGGTCGGTGTTGCAAATGGAGAGGTATAAGGGGTATGTCGAACTGAGAATGGGCTAGGTGACATTGGCTTTTGGATTGGAAGACCATCCAAACCTCCCTTGCTGAAAAAGGACATTGACTTAGCTCCATCACTTCGCTTAGTGGCATCATCTACATAAAGGACATCGTCAATCCTAGCAATTATGTTAAACGCCAAGCTCTCCATTACTCTTGAGTAACTTTCAAGAATTGATTGCCCCACGTCCTGAAGTCAATATAAAAAGATATGGTGAGAATTACCCTATATTGATCCCAAACAAAACTATGAACCAAACAACAAATGATAAATTCTCTCTGTGTCTCTTGTACTTTAATAAGTGCTTAAGTATCACTATATGACACCCTCATTTCACCATACACTAGATCATACTAGATCATGCAGTAAATGATCAACTAAGGGAAAAACCACAATTTCTTTTTCCGAAAACAAGATTGAACATTTAATCCCATCATGAAATCCATCCCCTCAAGCCACCTAGATTTTCAACCATGAGATTCCAAGTAAATAATGATTTCAACAATCTAATTTGCATATATTATAAATGCATCCCATATGTTGTTTTATGTTTTCCATATGCTTTGACTCCATTTTATAGAATATCCGTAGTTCTAGCTCATTAGATGATACTAGAAGATTAGATCGGACAAACTACCTTATTGTATTGAATTTTGCTCATATCCAATGCAGTTTGTGGAAGACCAGGGAATCGAACTTTCAAGCTCTGCAAGAGGGTCTCAGCTCGTTGAGCCAGAAAATGATTCTTCCCACCATCAACAACAAGGCCTTTGACCTTGCCACCCCATGATGAATGCTTACATTTCAGGTGGTTTGTGTGTTTTTTTCTGTCTTTCTGTTTCCACACATGCAAGGCTGCTTCAATTCTGTTTACCACTTCCAGGGTATGATGCTCTGATGAAAGGTCTAGGCAATCAAGGAGACATTCTGGTGAGAACTGGTCAGCAGTTATGTAACGGTATATGATATCGCCCAGACAAGATTTTCCATTCTGCAATGGCAAGTGAACATAAATAGTTGCAACAGCGCGAGAATATAAATAAACAGCATACATATGACAAATGGTTATTTTGAGCATGGTAACATGTGTTGAGTAATACTATATGCATCTATAACTATTACTACTATACCTTACAACCACATCTTAGCAAAAGTTCTATGTGAAATTTCTGCAGTAAAAGGATTTACTTATGCTCTTCTTTTTTACCTAATTAATCCAATCAAAACCTGCTAGACCTTTTTATTTATTAAACTTATAATGTTATTTTCCACTGTCTCAAAGCTGACTTTTTGTCCCCACTCATCCCTGCAACACCAACACAACTAATCTCCCTTATGATGGGTCAACCCTATTCCTCTGTTTCATTATTGTTATTCTCTCATGTTCAACCTTCTTCCATTACAATGTGCTTCCCCAGTGCTCGACTTTAGCTAGTTGAGCTTATTTTATTGCTCGAGACAGTTAATTTCATGTGCAGTAAGAACCATGTTCTATGTTCTTGTGTCAATAGAATTGTATATTGTTTTTAGTGTTTGCTAGTTTTAATCCTTTACAAAAAGTATCTCTCGAATTCAGTTCACATTAACTGACACAAGTCAGACAGCCATAGCCAAGGCTGAAATCAAATGTGGTATTTAAAAGGATCACATAATTGACAAATTGCAAATTGTCCCACCAATAATGCAGTACTTTTAGTAGTACAATGCCCAAATATAAACATGAATCACATGACAATCTTCCTTAATCTTCCTTAATCATGTTATAATAAATTAATACTATTTGACATGAAAATTTCAGCCAACCGGTCGTCATTTATATCATATAAACTTTTGAATTAAATAGACGGTGGCCATACCTTGGGCAAGGTCTCCAAGTAGGCACTAGGAATCTCCATCTCAGCGAGCACAACGCTATTGATGGCCATGGCTGCCTTCAATATCTGGTTTGTACAGTCCCTGCACTGCTGCAACCTCTTTCTTGCATCCTCTGGCAACCCACTCGGAGGAATTTTTGGACATGGGAGCCACCACTTCTCTTCTTGCCTTATTGAAGGCCTCCCATTAGATGCAGATGATGGAAATTCATCACAATCATTGGCATCAGGCACAATTATCCCACGATCAACATAACCGAACTCGGTTTCTCGAAATCCATCAAGGATCATAATTAACATGGCATCAAGCTTCTTGAGGGCAGGGAGATTCACGTACAAATCTGATCTCTGCTGTGTTGCCATGACTTCATACGTCCCTCCCCCAGGGAATTTCTGTACCGAAGGCACAAACTCCACAATTGAATCGCTCACACATAACAACCATTCCATCTCTCGGCACCACATTTCCTTCTTCTGTGATGCCAATGGCTCCAACCTCCACAGTTCCCCAAATATAGTGGCTAAAATTTGAAACCAAAAGCAATTTTAATAAATTAGACACACACACACACACACACAGGTAGTACATACAGAGTAAATATATACTGACCAGAGAGATTTGTGATGGCATTTGAGATTGCGAGGGCAGTACAGACTCCTTTACCCCCTCCAGACATGTCTTCTCCAAGGAGCAGCTTAGCAAATCTTTCCTTCATCATCTCAACTTCTGCAAAATGATGAAAAATAGAGAGAAATTCTAACAAAATACAAAGAATATATTTATATGTATACATATATAGATATATATTTATAATGAATGTTCAAATAGTACAAAGTAAGATCCGCAGTAATCATTGCATTAAAATCAGCAGCAATTATGTATAATATATTTTGGGAAAAATTAGATTTTGGTGATCAAATCTAAATAAAATTGTTAAATAATGACCTTAAAGTCAAAGAAAAATGAATAATCACCAATTTTGAAACTTAATTGCTAATATGTGTCCATTTGAGCGTAATTTGGTCAAAAGAATACTTACTTATTTATTAAATATTCTAAAAATAATTTTTAGATGACAAAATTGCGGGATTTATTATCCCCCCTCTTTCTCACTCTATTTTTTCCTTTTTAGTTTGCAGCCTACTAATTAAAAAAATTAGGGTTTCTTTATTAACCTTACTTTGGTAATCTACTCTTTTGTTATAATCAATTTCTATGAACCGACATACTTTCAAGTACGGTCGAGTTATATATATATATATATATGGTTCATATTTTATATAATGGCTGCACAATGCAATTTAAGTTGCTTCAATTTGAAGAAGATTAAACAACCACAACACCATTTAAATCACATACAAAAAAAGTATTTGACTGGATGTTTAATAATTAAGATAAATTTGTTCAATTATAAAATGGAGTAATATATACAATAAGCATATTTACATAATAAATCAGGTCACTTGTTAGCAATTAAGTTTCAAAATTTTCTTGAATATAAGGTTACTTTACAAATTTTATTTAAGTTTGGTCACCAAAATCTAATTTTCCTTAAATTTTCTCCCAATTTTAGAGAAGAAATTTAATAACAGTATGCATAAATGAAATGTACTGACCAGACAAATCGGCCTCCCGTTTCTCAGGCTTGACCTTCCAAACCCCCAAATCTTTCCCGCCAATCACCGGCAACATAATCGGTGGCGGCGGAGCTACCGGAAAACCGAAATTCCCGTACATCGGACGGCGTGCGAGTGGCGACGAAGCCAGAGAAGTCGATGCTCCTTCACCGTCGAATCTTCGACACGAGAAACTACTGGAACTCTCAGATTCACTCACATCGGCACTCAAGCTGTAGCTTCCACATCGCTCACTCTGTTGATCGTCGCCATCATCGGACGATACACTCCCCATAGCAATCATCAAAAAACTGATTCAAGCTTAAATTAGAAGTGAAAACAGAGATCTGAAACACATTGTGTAAACGATCTGAAGATATGCTTCGTGTGGTCTGTAAATTGCAGATATGGTTGATAAGTGGTAGTGGTGAGGAGTGAAAAAAAAAGTAGTAGCAGAGGACCTCTTTCTCCCTTTCTTTCTTTCTCTCTCTAGAATTTTCTCTCTCTATATCTACATATATATATATATATGTATATAGTGATGCTGCAAAAGCAAAATGAGATGGTGTTTGCTTTGTTGGTCTTTGGAGTGTGCTTTTCCAGTAACAACAAAGCTTAACTACACTAACCCTCACAAAGACAAGACACGTTCATTTTCTTCCTCCGATCTACATGCTGATTTCGTCTGCCACGTTGGCAGTTTTTGATGACGTGGGCCCATTTTTAGTCCTCGTTGGATAGGACTGTTTGGGATGTAGCGGGTCCATTTTGGTTCTAAAGGGATGGACTTTGACTTGGGAAGTATGTTGGTTGCCACGTTGGACAATTTTGATGACATGGACCTACCCAGTTGACCGAAGATTGTGCGGGGTGAAGTGGGGCCTACACAAGTGGAGGGATGTTGATTCGGAAGAATCTGGAGGGAATTGCGTGTGAAAGAGACGAAACGGTGGTTACTTTTTAGGTGAAGTTAATATGCGGGCGTTTCCATGGTAGTAAGATTGAGGTCTCATTATCAGGCGTCTGATCAGAGAATCACTCTTAATGTGCGTATTTTTTATCATTTCCTATCATTTTATAATTCTTCGGTGAGACTATGTGTATAGTTTAGATGCAGAAGGACGATTCGTGTGGGGAAAGTCATTTAGGGTCGGGTGGAGCCTTAGACCGTGCCTAAGGCAGCCAATAGAGAAGTCTCAAAAAAATTTATTCTTTATATATTATAATTTTCTTAAAATTTTTATTTTTTATTTTTATATTAAAGAGAGATTTAATAGTGGTGGACTTAAAAAATTCTATCAATTCTTTTTTCAGGCCCCATTTTTTTTTTTATATATATATTAAAATTTTACTAACATTTTTATTTTCTTCTATTATTAGATCTTACCAATAGAAAGATTTAATAGTAGATCTAAAAGATTTTTATCCTTATTTCATTCTTTTTTTTTATATAGCACGAATATCGGTCCCATAATACACGCATCATTTAAGTTAGGAGTATAATTTAAAAGCAGTACCTCAAAAACTTACCTCCTGAATCTCTGTCAGCGCTGGTATGCCTTTAGGGGCAATTTAAATCCCTATTTCACATTCTCCTTTAATATATATATAAGTCCTCATGATCATTACACCCATATATACTTTATGTTGTAGTGTGAATTGGTGAAACCTTCCATATTTTTCCAAGACTCATGCTACATATTTGTTTTTGTTTTTGTTTTTATTTTTTATTTTTTATTTTCTATTCTTCACATATTTTCTCACTATTTCACTCGGTGAGAAAATTTTGAGCATACTTTATTCTATTGAATAATTTGTTGAAGCCTTAGACTGAATTTTTCAAAATCAGACTTCTAAAACTTAAATTATTTTATACTTTTATTAATTTTTGTTATCATAAAATCATATATTTTGTTTGTAAGTTTTAATAATAATTTTTTTATATATATTGTTGAATATGTTTACTAAAAAGTATAAATCCTAATATGAAAAACTTAAAAAATAAAAAATAGATAAAGTAATTAAATCTAAAAAATGAGCTATTGATAAATTTGTTACAACTAATAATCAAAGCACAACAAAAAAATTAGACGAAAAATCAATAAATGAACAACCAAGTTTTCTAGAGGAATTAGAAGAGTAATTATACATTAACTAAAGAAAAATATATTAGTGAATAAATGTGCAATAAGAAAATCTTTATGAAGAATAAAAATAAAAATAAAAAGTGAAATAAAAAATCATATTCTATTCCCAAAAATATCTATGATCTTGGACAATGAAAAATTATTGATCCAAAAATAAGAGATTTATTAGTAAAAATAGTTCAATTAGATTTAAAGATTTAATTACTCTAAGAATGAAAACTCTAGATATTTTTCAATTAGATATTATGACCGATGTATTAAAAAGATTTGGATATAGTGTTTTGTTTTTTTGTTGCAGGTTATTAGAGATTGAAAAAATTTTACTGCCAAATTTAAAAATTATAAAACATCTTATGACAATATTACTAACATAAAAAGTCACTTTATTTGTTTCGTCTAAGGCCACAAATTATATTGAGCCGCCCGATATGTCATTCTCATTCCCATCCTCGTTTATATCATTTATTACTATCACTTTACAATAATATGGTGAGTCTAGGGTGGTGAGATCAACAATTTTATTATATTTTTCTTTGTGACAAATTAAAAAGAGGGAAATACGAATATAGACACACTCGTTTCAAGAACAGATCACTCTATTAATTAGACTTGAAACGAGACCAATTAATTATTCTGTGTTTATATTAAGATGAATCCTTTCGCACAATACAATGTGTTGTACAGCAGTAGAAGGGCAAGCCCATTTCTACTATACTTTTCATACATGCCATAACCATTATAATTTATAATTTATCAAAGGCTTGATTTTACTTATGAAAAATGATATTTTTGACATCAAGTAACTATCAATTAAAAAACTTACTTTACATGGCAATAAGTTATTAGTACTCTCTGGAATGTTAAATTAATTCTTTTTGAACAAAAATACCTTTTATCTTTCTCTTCTTCATCTCTCTCAGTATATCAGCGAATCTATAATTCTCTCTATGAAATACAGTGACTCGAATGATCCCTTCTTTTCTCTTATTCTTTTCCTTTCTTTCTCTATTGTTTTCAACTAATATCGTATATGGCTAATATGATTTTCACCCAAAAAAAAAAAAAAAAAAAATGATAGAGAAAGAGGAGAGAGATTTGAAGTGGGTTCCATGGCTGTAGGCTTTAACATGGGTATGAAGTTAGCTATGATAGAAGACAACTTAACAGATGTATGCTGGTGGCAAAGACAATGAGTATCGTTTGTGTATGAAGAAGTTGGTGGCTGAGCAAATTTCAACGGAATCTTGACTGAATGTGGGGTTTTCCGGCAACGGATTCACTTATGGCTCTCTCTCACTCCACGCAGGACAGTGGTATGAATGATGTCGGTTTTTGTGTAGTCGAGTGGAATAGCAGTACTATTTTACTTATACATCCAAATATAAATTAAGAGGGGAAGAGCAGCAACACGATACTGTCATTCTCTTTTCTTATTTTTAACCCTTCTCTGAAGAAGAATCGACGAAAATAACTCTATTAGAATGCATTGTAAATTGAATGGAGAGCTTTGTACTTGCACTTTCTTTTATGACGTGTTCTCATTTTCCATTTGAACTCATTATTCTCTTGATATTCTCAATTCAAAAGGAGAGTGCAAAAAAATACACATTTCAGTTCAAACTAAATGCCAAATAATAAGATTTTGAGCCTTACTGTTCACAACCTCATCAAGAATGTTCACAACCAAAACAGCAGGATGATGCCAGCACCAATTCCTTCTATCTTATGCGCGGCTTATTACAACATAGGCAAAGTATCCAATTAGGGAAGAGTCAATACGTGAAGATGTTTCTTTTCTCAATGGATATTGCCATCTCTCACCAATAAAAACTGTTAGAAACAAGAGATAGAGTAATTGTATATTTTAATGTATTAGATATACACAGGGTTTATACAGGTGACGCTGATGCGTGGAGAGTGAAAAAACTAAATCCTATACGGTAAACTTATACATGGTTAGAATATATATTGCACAATACAGTAATAATATATTCTATTATCCTAATTAATTACCAAATCAATTTAGGAGAATTTACATAAATACATTAGGAAATACAATTCACGCTGACACTCCCCTTAAAATTGGAGCATAGATATCTATCATGTTAAACTTGCTAATTACACCATGGAACGCCCTTCTTGAGACTGCCTTCGTGGGTACGTCAGCCAACTGATCTTCAGATCGAATAAACGAAAATTGTATGACTTTTCAATCAAGATTCTCTTTAATAAAATGACGATCAACTTTAAGATGTTTTGTATGGTCATGTTGAACCGAACTATGTGCAATTTCAATGGCTGCCTTATTATCACAATGTAAACTCATCGGTTTCTCATAATCAATCCCCAAATCTTGTACACAACAAGATTTCAACTTTGAAATTGCAATTCGCACACACCATGAGCCATACCTCAGAATTCAGCTTCCGCACTTGATCTAGAAACCACCTTCTGCTTTTGTGCTTCTCCAAGTGACAAGATTACCTTCCACAAAAGCAAAGTAACCCAATGTGGACCTCTTATCAGTCTGACTCCCTACCCAAATAGAATCTGTATATCCTTTAATTCCATAGACCCCATTCTTAGAGAATAGCAATCCTTTTCCTAGTGCATTCTTCAAACACTTTAAGATCCGATACACTGCATTCATATGTTCTTCACTCGGTTCATGCATGAACCGGCTCACCACACTTACTGCATAGGTTATGTTCGGCCTTGTGTGTGACAAATAAATTAGTCTCCCAACTAACTGTTGATAACATCCATTGTCAGTTGGGACCTGAGCCACAGACTCTCCAAGCTTGTGATTCATCCCTAGAGGTGTCTCTGCAGGTTTGCAGGCTAACATTCCAGTCTCAGTTAAAAGATCTAGCATATATTTCCATTATGATAGGGAAATTCCAGCCTTCGACCTTGAGACCTCAATTCCTAAGAAGTACTTGAGTTGGCCGAGATCTTTCATTTCAAATTTTGCTACCAGGTACTCTTGTAACGCTTTTCTCTCACCTGGATCATCTCCTATCAAGACCATATCATCTACATATACAATCAATGTCGTTAATTTCCCCTCTTTGTGTTTTATAAACAAAGTATGATTCGAATTACTTTGTTTATAGCCAAATTCCTTCATTGTGGAGAAGAACCTTCCGAACCAAGCGGGGGGTGACTGCTTCAGACCATACAACGCCTTCTTCAATTTACATACTTTAATTCTACACGAGGATTTGCATTTAGCTCCAAGGGGTAACTCCATATAGACTTCTTCCTCTAAATCTCCATTGAGGAAAGCATTCTTGATGTCAAATTGTTGTAAAGGCCAATCTTGATTTGCTGCTATGGATATAAAAATGCGGATGGTATTAATTTTGGAAACCGGAACAAAAGTCTCTTGATAATCCACTTCGTACTTCTGTGTATATCCCTTCGCAACTAACCTTGCTTTATACCTATCAATATTGCCATCAACCTCGAGTTTCCCTATGAACACCCATCTACACCCAATCAACTTCTTCCCTTTAGGTAATAGACAAAGTTCCCAAGTGTTATTCTTCTAAAGAGCCTCCATTTCATCATTCAATGCCCTGGTCCACTTTGGATCTGCCAATGCATCCTGCACACTACTAGGAATAGACACAGTGGATAATTGATTAATAGAAAATGTATACGATTCTGACAACCTATAGGGGGAAACATAATTAATAATTGGGTACTTAGTTTTAGTTTTGGGATCAAGTTCATATTGTTTCTTCAGTACTCTCCTATTTGACCTCTGTGGATATTTACTGGTACATCTTTTGATGGACAGGAAATTCATTAGGTTCATCAAGAATAGGATTCGAGGTTACCTGAGGAAGAACATTCTGGGTTGATCCTTCAGTTAATGGTGTAGACGTGGGCAACTTTGGAAATGAAGGGGGGTCATTGCTAGAAAAACACGGATTTGTGCATAATTCCGGGTCAACACCGCAGCCTTTACTAGCCGGCACCGCAACGCTCAGACCTGTTTCCTCAAAAACTTCAAAACATCCCCCATTTTCCTCCAATTCGAACAATTCCGTCCCACCATCTTTATTCTTTTCACTATGACTCTCCCCTAGGAGGGAAGACCCAGAAACTCCCCTTGAGTAGTATGGTTCCAATTCTCTAAACAAAGCATCCATGGTCACATGTAACTTCTGAGTTTGAGGATTATAATACCGATGCCCCTTCTGAAACTCCGTGTAACCTACAAAGACACATCGTTTCGCACATAGATCAATTTTACCCTGCAGGACTTTAGGCACGTGAACATAGACCGTACATCAACAATGATTGCATATTTTGTTGGGGAGTTTGAAACTCTATCATACTAAATGGTTTTCGGTTGATTAAATAGGAAGTCGATTTCACTGCCTCACCCCAATACAACTTCGGCATATTCATGCCAAAGAGGGAGGCCTGAACTATTTCCATAATTTGTCTATTCTTTCGCTCTGCTAGCCTATTGAAGTAGAGCTAAAGAATTTCTTTATTGTCATGCCTCATGAAATTAGATATATTTCAAATAATTTCTTTCCTTTTGAATTGCCAAATGAGATTGAAAATCTATCATAATTGGTATGGATAACTAAGAAACAAGTTTATGAAGCACCAAGATCAAATCATCAATGGTATCGAATTTTGCTCATACTCATATATGATATGTAACGAAACTCGAGGACAAGTTTTTCTTGAAGTGAAGGGGATTGATGTAGGACAATTTCTTCATATCTAGTAATTCTTTTTATTTATATTTCTTAGTTATTTTATTTTATATTTTTATAGGAAGTTTAGTTTTAATTAGTTTCTTTTAAGAATTATTTTTCTTTTACCATTAGGTTTCTTTATGTTTTTAATTTTCTTCTAGTGTTAAGTTTTCTTTTATTATAAATACGTGTATTGTCAAGTACACAATTAACTTTTTATTCATTCAATTATCAAATAATATATTAAATTTTTCTGATTTTTTTTTTTCGTTTTGGGGATTCAAAACACCTACCTTGTGAATTCAAGGTAACTTATTTCTCGTAAACGAATTTATCGCTTCCGCTTACGTCAATAGCCGTCACTATTGTGGTACTCCATATCTAGGGTCACTATTGTGGTACTCCATATCTAGGGGCGGAGCTCCCTGTGGACTAACCTAAGCTATAGCCCATGTCCAAAAATAAATAAATAAATAATTAGTACCACTATTACCATTAGCCATAGTCCAGCCCAGCCCAGTCCAAACTGTCCAATCCATAATAAAAACATAAATGATAAATGGCCCAACCCAGAAAACAAACCTACAAACAAATTAGAACTAGAAGATTGAAACAGACCTAGGAACTGTTTGGCACGATGTTATATTGTTTTTGGTGTTTTCATTTTCTTTGCTTGAATTTTTTTTTTTTCCCACTAAATTCTCGACTTGAATTTTTTCTTTAGCCCTTTCTATTTTCAAATTGTGACTCCACCCGTCCATATCATAGTAGTATTAGGTCAATTACTGTGATAGAAACTCCTACCAGTGTCTCTCATACTGAAGAAGTGCTATATCATAATGGAAGTTGAACGGACACCACTAGTTAGTTGTAATCAAAAGCATGGATTACGAGGTATGACCTAACCAACCCCAAATGTTTAGCTACGGTACGTGTTTTTGAGTAGATTGTCCTCTTATTTCAAAGGGGGGAAATATTACAATGATAATTTAGAATAGAATTCCTAGGAGAGCTTCAAATGTTTAGTAGCCTTATGAACAACACCACTAATTCATATGGTATGTGATACATGCATGTATGTATAAACAAGTTTGGTTGGTACATGGTACTAGACTAGTAATCATCTTCTTCTTCTCGGAATCTTCTAATGACAGCAGCAACTGCACCAAAAAGTATGAATAGAGCAAAGATTTCAAATCCACCTCCAATGCCAATAGCAACGCTAGGACCGAACCCATAACCATACCCACCTCCTCCATAGAATGGTACACCGAACCCATAACCATACCCACCTACTAGAGGTGGGGCCAATGGTGGATTGATATAGACATTGGTCCTGCCCAAACAATTAAATTTATTTATTATAAGAAAATGTGGAACAATTTGATTCTTCTACTTAAAAAACAAAAATAAAAAATAAAAAATAAAAAACCCTATCATATAAATAGAAAAACTCAATATATACGGAATATATATAACTTAAAGGTGCGGCAGAGGAAAATGAGACATGGAAAAATTACTATATTTAGATTATATAGTAATTTTTCCACACACAATGAAAAGCTTTGCCAACATTCAGCCGCAATGGGGCCATTCAAGAGCCAACATACGTAAAAGTGCATATGACCCACAAATCAGAATACTTTACAAGATGAATTTATTCTGATCTTAAACCCCGCCATCGAACAACTTTTCGCAATCACCATAAGCATACATGCAAAAATATTTGCCCCTTTTCAGGCTCATTTTAAGTAAATTAATGTGTTGGCAAGTTGCAAAGCAAAATCATATATTCAAGTTGTAATTTGCTTTGAGTCTTTTATGAGAGCTTCAAGATCAAGGTGGTTGTGGTTGTAACGAAAGTGTCAATTGGGTATTAGAAGTTCAAAAATTATTTTAAAGATGTCATTGGACAATGCGCACTTCCTGCCACTAGTCCATGGGGCCATTCAAATCATAAAAATCAATACTGTTAGGTCTTGCACCAGGGAAGCTATATGTATTCACTGATGACGTACCAAACAACAAGGGTTATCTTGAATCTACAAGATATGATAGTTTGAATCCACAAATTAAAAGAAAATTCATAAAGAATTCTGAAATATTATTGATAAAATGTTTTAATTATGAGCATATTTATGATAAAAGAAAATCCTAAAGTAAACTAAAAAATATAAAGAAACTAATTGTAGAAGGATAATTAAAAATTTAAAATTAAACTTCCTAAAAATTATAAAAAATAAAAATAATATAAAACCTAATAAAATCGTCCTACATCAACTGATCCCGCTACTACCTTGAATTGATTTTACAACAAGGAGATAGTAGTTGCACTGATTTAACTTTTGACATGCACTTGTGCACCTGTGTCCAGAGGATTGTTGCGTTGGTCCAACACTGCTTGCACCGGTCCAATTTGTCCTATGCAAATAGGACTTTGGTTCCTGTCAGATATACTTCCCAACTTCTATTTAATCTCCGAGAAACATTGTTCTATAGCAATCGTTTATTAAGAGCTTTTTCAAGAGAAAATTCTAAAAGAATTGTTAAAAAAAAAAATCATTGTTGTGTGTGTTCTCTTTTGATTGTTGATATTGAGCGTCACCATTGACTTCATCAAAGTGATCAGAACAGCAAATCAGTCATATTCTTAGCGTGCTCTAGAGCAAGAGAAAAAGGCGTTTAATCACTATTGATTCAGCGGACTGTGCACACTTAAAAAGACTTCTAGAAATTTCTTCCTATATGTTAATTCTCTCCCAATTGATTGAACCGTAGGTGTGATGATTTACTTCACAAGCGAGGTCTATGGTTCAAGAATACAAAAAGCATCGGACTCCTTCATGCATGCTCCATCTGGCTCGGGAGCAATGAATTTTTTTTATAAAATAATGTAATTTACGGATTAATAGAACGTTTCTCCTTTCTAAGATATGCCAAATAGTTTTTGGTGATTCTAATCTTTTAAAATTATAACTTGTGTTTTTAGGACTAATAATTTATCCGGTCCTTTGTGGGAACTACCTTTAATAAGGAACTTGCAAAAATCATGACCATATCTGCTATTCTAATAATAAAATTAGATAGAGATGAAATTAGAATAATTCCTTTTTTATTTCATTTTTTTGGACTCCGCAAGAATTTGTTGATATTTTTGATTAAATCTTCATCTTCCTAGATGTTCCATAGGAATAAATTGTTATTCTGTTCCTCCACAAAGAAACATTTATTTCAAGTTACAACATAAGAACCGTTTTCAAAATCTTTCTTTGATTCCAGATCAAGGTTAATATATATCTATATATATAAAATTTAAGTATTGAAATCTATATCTATCCGATCACGGCTTCATGTACCAAATATTTTCATATCGATGCATCCGATAGTTTTGTTCCTACAATGTAATGAAGAATGGATGCGAGAAAGAGACTTTCATTTCCAGTCTACTCAAGGGCCTATTGGTTTAGGTAAATATCCAATGTGCTCCCCCGACTAGAGAAGTCATTTTTGGAGGAGAAGCTATGCGCAGAATGAGGTGATTCCTTTGACGTAAATTAGTGTTGATGGTAACTCCAAAGAAACTGAAATTGTTGGACACTAATGCTCCATTTGGTTAGAGGGATGAAAAAATGAATGAAAATGAGAGAAGTATGTAGGTAGACACGACAGCGTGCTCTTCATAAGGATGACTTTCCCACCCTTCGAAAGGTACTCCTTCTTCCACCCGGCAAGTCTTATCTGAAACCACTCTAGCACAGGTCCGAACCCCCTACCCTCCTTGATGGAGATCCCAAAGGCAATCCCAAATAAGAAAAAGGAAAAGAGTCGGCCCCCCACCTAAGAACCGCAGCAAGAGAGGCAATGTCTTGAACCTCCCCTACAAGGACTAACACAATCTTTCCCATATTTACTTTCAGATCACCTGAAAGAAAACCAAAACACACCTCAAGTATCTCAGCTGGGACACATCGGTGCACAAAAAACCAAAGTATCACTACAAACAGCAAAAGGGAAATCTCCAGCTGATGATCCACATCTCAACCCACCCTGAAGCCCGTAATAAATCCTATATCCACAACCCTCCTCATCAGTACTAATACAACTGAGAGCCTCCATGAAAAATGATGAACAAAAAAGGATAAAGAGGATCCCCTGTCTCAAGCCCCAAGAACTGCCAAAGAAACCAATCAGAGATCCATTCATCAGAACCGAGAATCTCACAAATGAGATACAGGAATCAATCCACCTCCTCCATCTCTCCCCGAAGCCTAGCCTCTCAGACATATGGAGCAAAATGCTCCAAATAACATGATTGTAAGCTTTCTCAATATCAAGCTTCCAGACAAGGAATACCACTACTCATCCTAGAATCCACAAACTCACTGGTAACGAGAGCTGAATCCAGGTTCTGACAACCACCGATGAACGCGATTGAAGACACCCCTCAATCTCAAAGCGCTGACCTTAGTTATTAGTTTATTTCTTCACAAATTAAGCACCCAAGATAATATTCACAAGTCGGATATTATACAATATTAGATTTGTTTTTTGTGGAGAGCATAACGAGAAATTTGATGGCTATCCCTTCTTTTCTCATTGCTTCAACAATACTACATTTCATCCAAATGCATCCTTAACTTTCAAGTAGGGAGTTGGGACTTTATAGTCACCAAGGATGATGAGCTAGAAGTCAAGATGTTTTACAACCCTTTGTCACGCCCCACCAAAGGAAGTTGCGCCATGCAGGTGACACACATACGGGTGGCAACGGGGCGGGGGTTCGAGACCTGTTTATCTAAACTCTACCTCGTGACGAGTAAGGAGTGAGTGCGGACGATGTCGTAGCTTTAGATTTCTAATGGTCGGACGACGTCGCAAATTTAAATCTCCATTAGGTCGAACGACGTCTCTTAGTCTTCTCTCTAGAGCAGCGGCAGACTGGCAATTGCAGTGGGCTAGGGTTTGTGAGTCTCTCTAAATGTTTCTCAATTTAACTCTGAAGTCTAAAGAGTCATCTGTGAGAGTCTTAACTCTTGAAACTCTAGCATATAATATATATATATATATATATATATATATATAGGAGGGACTAGTATATAAATATTTAAAAAAAGTAAGGGCATTAATGTAATTTAAAGGTCTGTATATATAATTGGGGCGGGGTCAACACTAAATCTGACCCCGCCCCGAACCCAAGTCGGGTTTTACATAAAATTACCATAACCGCCCCTCCTCCCATTCAGGGGTTACCAAATCAATCTCATTAGGAGCGGGGGCAGGGTGGGAACCCGTCGGGGCGGAGGAAATTGCCACCTATAGACTCACGAACGCCAAAGAATACTCTGCATGGCGTTTGCTTGGCAAGTATAGAGAATTAGCTTCTAGATTCTTCCAAAGTTGCGTGGAGTGCTGTAATGTTTAGAGGCTCGGGATTGCTGAAATTTGTTGTTCGGCTTGTTTGGGGATCAGTTGGTTATGCCCAGGTCTTCCAAAGGCTTGGAGAGATTGTATAGTGGGGGGCCAAGCTCGTGACTTTTGGAGGGTTACGCCTTTGTGCATCTGATGGTGTCTTTGGATTGAAAGAAATAGGAGATACTTTGAAGGAAAGGAGAATCCTATTGGGTCGTAGAAATTATCTATTATAAGTATCCTTTTTTGTTAGGTTTTAGGGAGAAATTGGAAATCCTTGGACGAACCTGTTGATTTTTGGACTCTCGGAGGCCTTACATAGCTTATGAGGGATTCGTTCCCCTTTTGAACGCTTTTAATACAATTCTTACTTATCAAAGTTTTAAAAATAGGGTTAATTACACTGACACCCCCTCAGGTTTGGCTAAATATCACATTAAAATAACTTTCAAAAATTACTATTACTTAGGTCCAATTTTACTTTTCCGTCACTGACAGTGTTAAAATTGTGTGAAAATATAATTCTGCCCCTAATTTTTTAATACAATTTATTCCAAACTATCAATTAACTAAAATGGCTATTTTACCCCTCATTTATTACTCCCACCAACCACACTCCTCATCTCTCTCTTTCTCTCTCTCTCTTAACAATTCTGCTCGAGAATATGAATGGTGATGGTGGTTTTGCAAACATTAGCATATTGGTAGAGGGAGGTCTTGTCTTTAGGGACTATTGAAGATTTAATGGAGGAAAATCTTTTAGTAATTGACGTTGTTTCCTATCAATGAATATTTGGTGTTACTAGAGGAATCAATGGAAAAAATCCTGTGTTTCCTATTTTCTAATTCTTTCTATTCTCATAATTTCTTCTCTTATATAAAGGAGCATCCGCCATTGTATTGTATATGAAATGAGAGAGTATTATAAAAGTGATGTAGCCCTTTGGACTCTTTGTGCCATGGATATAGGTCCTAATGGCTGAACCACATAATATATGTGTATTCTACTTATTTTATTTATCTCTTCACTTCCATTTTATGCTTTACAACATGGAGTCAGAACCTAAGTTATCTTCCTAGGTTCAGACCCCTATTCTGAGGTATTCCCTTAGCATCTGAAATGTTGCTAAGGGTTTCTCAGTGTTATTTGTGACTTATTTGGACTGCCGGTTTGTTCGACAATAATGTTCTTCGCCTTTGCCGTATCTCCGGCAGTTTTTATTGACTTGTTTGGGCTGCCTGTGTGTTCGGTAACATTGTCTTTGTCTTTGTTGTATCTCTGATAGTTTTTATCGAATTGTTCGGGCTGCCGGTGTATTCGATAGCATTGTCCTCGCCGTTGCCGTGTCTCCGGCAGTTTTTTGTTGACTTGTTTGGACTGTCAGTGTGTTCGGTACCATTATTCTTCATCTTCTCTCTTCTCTCTTCATTATTCACACTTGTTGTTACTCGTTATCTCAATGGCAAGTTGGGCATTCATGCTCCAACTTGAGGGGAAATATTGAAGATTTAATGGAGGAATCAATGGAGGAAAATCTTTCAGTAATTGATATTGTTTTATATTATTGAAGATTTGGTGTTACTAGAATAATCAATGGAAAAAAATTCTCCTTATTTCCTATTTTTTCCAATTCTTTCCATTCTCATAATTTTTTCTCCTATATGAAAGAGCCTCCACCATTGTATTGTATATTAATTGAGAGAGTATTATAAAAGTGATGTACCCTTTTGGGCTCTTTGTGCTGTAAATGTAGGCCCTAGTGACTGAACCATGTAATATCTGTGTGTTCTACTTGTTTTATTTATCTCTTCACTTCCGTTTTACGCTTTACAATAGGGGCGATGCTGTCAAGCTCGAGTGAGGAAGAGGGACTTGATGGAGGGAAGGAGGAAAAAGAGAGGTCACTGACCTCGCAAAAGATGTAGGAGAGGAAGATAGCTGCCGACGGTGACCTGCAGCAGGTATGGCGGAGAGCAAGTCGCTGCCATTCTCATGCTGACCAGTCACTGCCCAAAAGCAGTAACCAAACTTGGTTGCTCTTCTGAAATAGTGAGCATAGGTCACTATTTAGAGACCTTCAACAGCGGTCATCGTCGTCCATGACCATGACCCTTGGTTGCTCTTACGACCCCCACGGTCGCCACTAAACATGGCAAAGACCCCTTTGGTCGCAGAGTTCGAACCTAGGTGTGGGTCGCAATTGCGACCCACCAGTTGTTATGATCACTGACCGTCGACCGATTCCAGCGACTGTTGGTCGTCGTAAAGGTGACTAGCAGTCGCCCGCTCGTAAGCATGCTCGTTGTCAGCGACAACTTGCATGCATCTTTTTTTAAAAAAATTTGTTTTAGTGCATTCGCAATCAAATTCTTTCTTACACATCGACGCCTCACCGAACCAAAATCATTGATGATTTAATTATGTTTCAAATTGTCTCAAGCTTTTAAAATCGGTTGCACCCAGTTGTGTCAATTCCCCTTCAATTGATGGAGCATTCGTCGAAGAATTTGGTTGTCAGTTTAGGTTATGTGAATGGGATCACCGACTGTGGTGATCAACAACGACAAAGCTTTGTGGCTTTGTGTGGGTGTGTGTGTATGTGTATGGTTTGGTGGTGGCAACTATAGGAAGTGAAGATAAGAGAGGGAGCTGAGAGAGAAGAAGAAGAAGAGGAGAAAGAAGAGCCGGCTAGGGTTGGTGATATTTAAGTGTAGGAATTTGTGGAATTGGTCTTTACATGATGCAATATATATATATATATATAATATTTTTAAATTTATATAATCAAAGTCAAAGGGTATCCAAGTCATTTCAACCTTTTGTAAGTCAACAGAGAGTGGGTAGCAATGTCATTTTACATGCAAAAAGGGCACTGACATCATTGAAAAGTGACATTTGGGGTGTAAGTAAAAAACAAACCAAATGTTTGTAATGTGAGTGATAGTAATTTTCGAAATTTATTTCAATGTGATATTTGGCTAAATCTGAGTGAGTATCTTATTAATCATTGATTGTAATGCATCATAGTCGTGCATTCGGGAGGCAGATGCCTGTAAATAGGGTAGGAGCCTCATTTGTAACCGTCAAGTCCTACAAAGTGAGTGTAGAGTTGAGAATAGAGTGAGAAACTAGCCTTGTACAAAGCATTCTTCGAATAGAGTAGCAATACAAGTATTTTTTCTATTTGCCAATCAAAGAACTAAGTGTGTGAGTGTTGAAGCCAAGAGGCCACTAGTAAGCGTAGGAGCGTGTTGGCTCGAGTGAGTGACCAAGTCAAAGATACAATGCTTGCGCACTGATATGGTTAGAGTAGTGGAAAATCCCTAGGCCGGTGACACCTTAATATGGTTAGAGTAGTGGAAAATCCCTAGGCTGGTGTCATATTGCTTGGTGTTCTTTTTGTATTTTAGTAATTTATGCCCTTCTTAATATATACCTACATTCTCATACTTACTTTGTGGGGGTGGGGTTGGGTGGCTACAAGAAATAGCTAATAATGAAATATTATTAAGCCTAGACCTAAAACTCTTCTTGGGGGTCTCTATGGAAGAAAAATCTGTAGAGAAGGAAAACAGAGCTACAAGGTTTGTTCCACAAGCTTGAAGCTCTAACAAAGCCATGAAAATGGAAAAGGATGGGACTGTTTCCCAAGTTGCAACTTTTTTTTCATATTTTATTTTCACAAACCTAATAAAGAACTGAAAATTTAAAAGAGTAATTAGATATTATTGGTAATTGTTATTGATTAGCAATTTAGGTGTTCTTGGTTCTCTGTATGAACGCCTTTTCAGTCCATATGTTGCAACTTATTTTAGCTAATTTTCATTAGTTCACAAAATTTGTAAAACTAGGATGGGCGATCAAATAAGTGAATTAGCTAAATTAAGGAATAGAGTGAGCTGCATAGTTTCGTAAAAATACCTTGAATTGTTGATTCTCGGGGAGGAGGGGGAGGAGGAGCGTGGAGCCGATGACCGGAAGGCCTGACCGCCCACTCGACCGCCTGTCTTGGCAGCTGATGCGGGATCAACTGACCCCAGTGTCAAAACACCAGCTGCCAATGTTACAATTGCCAGCTTTCCCAATTGATTCTCATTTTGACTGTAAAATCAGTGCGAAGAAAGAAAAAAGACAAAATTAGGAAAATTACCCAGTTGAAATTAAGAAATAAAAATTATACCAAGTGATCGAGAGAGTTTGTTATACCTGGAGAAATCATCGAGGTCATGTGGTTGATATTTACATGAAATAGTTGCTGTATTCAGAGGAATATTTAGAATTTTCCTTTTGGGTTTGTGGGTTGAAGTACTGAGGGCGTTGGTTAGGAAGCTCTGCTGAGATGAGACTAGAGACATCATGTGGATGGTTGTACTCATATATCAACAATGGAAGGCCAGTATAGTATTTTCTTCTCTCTGACTTCTTTTTATCTGTGCTGCACTAGTGCTTCAATGGAGGCCAATGATAATGGGTGTATTTCTTTTTCTGATATTATTATTTATGTTTTCTACAGAGAAAATAAATAGACTCAACCATTTGATGATTCCGAAGTTGCCACGTGTTTGACAAATAATGGATAATTGGAGGGTTCGAGAGTATGAATTTTTTGCAGTTTCCCAATTAAATTCTTTTTGTAAAGGAGTCGAGATGTTTCCAACATTTTGGGCTCCTCTCTTGAACATTCAGTTCGTGTTTATTTTTGTTATTACACACGAACTGAGCTCAATTAAATTTTTTATATTTAATTAGGATAGAGAGCATACCTCTTTGTATATAACTCATAAAACAATTATGTTAGGAACGAAAAATGGCGGAATACTACAATGCCCTTCTTACATTTAAAATAAAAAATAATAAAAAATTTAGTTAATATAAAATTATTATTATGACTTTTATATACAAAAAGGAAAGCCCTGTTTGGTATATGTTTTACTTCATGTGTTTTTGTTACATGTCTGTTACAGTAGCTCAAAAGTGGTCCAAAGCATGTTTGGTTCTTTATGTTTTGTTTGGAACCATTGTAAAACATTTTAAGAAAAAAGCCCAAAACTTGAAACACCAAAATGGTGTTTTTAGTTGTTTCAGCACTGTTTGGCCCACTTCATGCACTGTAGCGGAGGAAGTAATTCGGCCAAACTTATAACACTCTACAACAAGTATAAAGGCGACGCCAACTTTCTCTCTCCTCCATCGATGTTCTCTGTGGCGATTTAGGGTGATTCGACTATATAGTGCTTGAGTCTTGAAAACTTCGATCAATTCAAGCCTTTTTGCTTAAAACCACCACCGATCTAAAGCTCTTTACACTTTTCGTCAAAGAAGAAGCCAGGTTTGACCCATTTGGTTTAACTTTGTTCGATTAAGTTCAACATATTGACTGTTTTTCTGTATTTTGTTTAGTGTTTTTTGTTGGAAATCCATAGATGGTGTGTAATATTCTTTGATTTTGGAGGTTTTTTTAAAAAAAAATTGATTTTTCCTGAAAATCGTAATTTTTCTTTCAGTTTTACGAGCATAAAACTCTTCTATATTGTTAGATTTGAGCTTATATTTGAAGGGAAACCAATATTTGTGGAAACCCTAAATTTTTCTTTCGGTTTTTGTATTAATTACCACAACAGTGTTGTGTTGGAGCCTAATAATCTTATATTTGTATAAATCCTAAATTTTTATTTCAGTTTTTTTAGATTAATTACCACAATAGTGTTGTTCAATTTGATTTGAAGATTTAAGATACAACTTTCTATTTTAAAGCAACTGTACATTATTATTTTGTTAATAATGAATCTTGATTTACTGTCACCTGAATTCACTTTTTCAGGAAAAGATTTGTTTAAGTGAATTTCTTATTAAGTTGTGTGTAATCTTTTATAATGTATCTGTATTCCTATTTGCAGTATGGATGTATGAATGAGGTTAAATTTTTTCAATTACTGAATTGGAACTTGACATATAAAGAATAATGGAGACCTTTTGTCATTTTGCAAAATTCTTGATTTCTCTTTTGCTTGTTAAAAATGGGAACCAGGAAAGGCGCATAGGAATATAACATGTAACAATTTGATTTTTTGATATTGTATACTGATTGGTGTACAATATGATTGAGGAGGCCCGAAGTGGCATGGGCCGGATATGACTTGCAAACGCGACATCTGGTCCGTACAGATGGGTCAGGCCCATAGAAAGACACTGCCATATGGGCCGAACGCGAATTAGCCCATCAAAGATGACCAGAACTCATAGAGGAACGGGCCTAGATCCAGCAGTCTATCGACATTTGTAAATATCTATAAATAGGAGAAGTAATGAATAGGGTAGGGGAGATATTTTTTAGTTGAAATGCCAGAATTCTAGAGAGAGAAAGAGAGGAGGAATTTCTTGCATCTTCAATTGGCGCCGTCTGTGGGAATCGTGGAAGATTGATTGATCATTGATTAATATCGCGTGGATTCGGACCAATCCGAGGGAACAAAACTCGATCTTTGGGAGTTAGATCTAGATCTGAGCGATTGTGACCTACTCTGGAGAAATTTTAATTCCTGTTGCTTTGGCAGAAGTGGCTTCAGATCTACGCAACAACGAGTTGTTCGATTGTGGCAGGATCTGACGGATTTAGAATTCGGACAATTCAGATCTCGTCAACCGTGAGCATAATTCGGAGAATTCGAAACCAGATCTGAAAAATTCCCACTCACGAAGCTCGGATCTACTCACAAACTTGAGATTAATGCCTTTACTCCGTTCAGGAATAATGATAGGTGAAAGCTCCAATCCGATGGAGGCTGTCCAGCAAACGAAGCTTGAGGAGTTGATGAACTTGATCGAGGCTCTCAAAAAAGAGAATGCAGAATTGAAAGCTGGAATGCAACATCAGCAAATACCCGCGGTTTCGCGTCCACTTCCGGCCAGTGAAGGAGGTGTTCAATCTAATATCGCGCATCAAGGCGAGCAGGACGAGAACAATCAGTCAGCTCTCCACCGTGATGAAAGGAGGATGGATGATTTGCCGCCAAATGCTCGTCGAGTTGAGGATCACGAAGGATCGACTCACGTTAATCCGCGACATGAGCAGATCAGACAGAACGAAGCCATGACCTTCGATCCGCATCGGGAAAGGTTCAACCGAGAGGAGGTGATAGAGGTTGATCGCCGCCAAGTTGCGTCGCCTTGGCGAAGAGAGCTCATAGAGGAACGGTCGTTCGATCCGTCCTACTGGCCCTCCATGGCTACAATCACTCATCGTGGTTCGGAGAGCAGAACCGTAGCTCACAGGGCTACCACTGGGCGCCAAAGAGAGAATGAAGCACTTCGATCCGCGGCTCGGACGGTTGATTCACCATTCACTGACGAGATCCTGAATGCCCCGCATCCAAGGAAGTTTGCTATGCCAGTCTTTATTCTGTTTGACGGAACAACCGATCCGATCCGATCGATCATGTGTACCATATCCAGTTGAAAATGGCCCTGAATACAGAAAACGACGCTTTAATGTGCAAATGTTTCCCTACAAGCCTAGCTGGACCGGCGCTCAGCTGGTTCAAGAACTTGCCTAGGAGCTCCATTGGTAGCTTCCGAGACCTGTGCGATCGGTTCATAAGCCAATACTATGGGAACAAGTGTCCGCCAAAGGACATCTCAAGCCTATTCACAATAAGACAGCACAAAGATGAACGTCTCCAGGCTTTTCTCACCAGGTTTAATCTCACTAAGAGTATGGTGATCGAATGCCACCCTTCTACAGCGGTTCAAGCCTTCAAGTTAGCCATGACACGTGGCACTCCGTTCCATACTAGTCTGGTAGTGAATACGCCGACGACTATGGATGAACTCAATGAAAGAGCCGACGGCTTTGTGCGCCTAGAAGAAGAGGAGGCAGCCAATGCTCGGACAGCGTCGCTTGTGTCGACCGAGGAAAAGTCCAAGGCAAAGATCAGGCAGAAGCAGGCTCAGCCGCAGCGTCAGACCTCCTGGAAGGCAGAAAAGAGGTCCAGGGAGGAAGAGCTGATCACTCCGCTGAAGATCACTCTGGCGAGGCTATATCAGGAGAACAAAGATAAGTTTCATCCACCACTGCCAATTAGGCAACCCCTCGAACAGAGGGATCAGACTAAACATTGTGCTTTCCATTCCGATTTCGGTCATCAGACTAATGAATGCAGGAATTTGAGAAGGCAAGTGGAGATGTTGATAGCTAGAGGGGAGTTCGCGAGTTATGTTCAAGGCTCGGCGACAGAGCAGAATCGACCGATGGAACAAGTAAAAAGGAGTCATAAACAAAGCTCCCACAGTTCACAACCAGTTCGTTTAATCAATGCTATCCACGGTCGACCTAAGCCCAGCGAAGATTCAAATGAGCTACTCCGAGCGCGCCTACGGCAGGCGCAGATGAAGAAAAGGGTCAGTAGTGTGAATACTCTACACCAGCAGATCACATCGATACAGATAAAGTTCGACAGGACAGACCTGCAACGTGTTCAAATCCCCCATGAAGACCCGTTGGTAGTCAGTTTGACAGTGGCGGACTGCCTGGTGCGCAGAGTTCTGATCGATCCCGGGAGCAGTGCGAATGTCATGCCGAGGGACACATTTGATCGGCTCGAGATTAAACCAGAGAGGCTCAAGCCCACTGGAAATCCCCTGTTAGGATTCGATGGCAAGAGGGTGGAGCCCGTCGGAATGGTGGAAGTAGAAGTTCAAGCTGCAGAACGAGCTCTTATGGAAACTTTTGTGGTTATAGAGATTCACCCCTCGTACAATCTCCTGATGGGAAGAGGATGGATTCACAGAGTCCAAGGTGTACCCTCAACTTTACATCAGGTCATGAGGTGCCTCGGACCCGATGGAAAGAAGGTGATCGACATTCGTGGGGATCAAGTTGCAGCCAAAGAGTGTTATTCCGTCACACTAAAGTATGCTGGGAAAGGGAAGGCGCCCGTCCGATCGGCAAGCCCCAGATAGCAATTACAGGAACCTCTGCCCAAGCAGAACAGGGTGGGGGAGTCAGTCGACTTGACCGAAGAGCCCCTTCTGGATGTGCAGATCGATCAGTCCAGGCCAGAGCGAACTACCAGAGTAGGAATAAGACTGACCAGGGAAGAGCAGCAAGAGCTAGTTAACTTCTTGTCTCACAATGCCGATGTATTTGCATGGAGTCACCTAGACATGCCTGGAATTAATCCCTCCGTATCCTGTCATTCCTTGAATGTCAATCCCAATTTCAAACCAGTAAAACAGAAGCAATGAAGATTTGCTCCAGAACGCAACCAAATCATAGCCGAGGAAGTTGATAGGCTGCTTGATGCGGGATTTATCAGAGAAGTACACTACCCTGATTGGTTGTCTAACGTCGTTGTCGTGCAGAAGAAGAATGGGAAATGGCGAGTATGCATTGATTTCACCAATTTGAACAAAACCTGTCCGAAGGATAACTTCTCGCTGCCAAAGATTGATCAAATGGTGGATGCCACCACCGGGTATGAGCGTTTAACCT